TTACGTCGTTTAAATCCAGACAAACAGATATCTCGTGCGATATGTTATTCCGATAATGATTCAAACCTCTAGGAGAAATTGCTTTTATAATCCCTCCTTCAACGTCAATGAGAGATGGCCAATTATGCTGAATATAAATACATGTACACTGGAAAATACCTGATACCAAGAAGAAATGGCATTCATTGGCAATGCATTAAAAGCCGTACCAAACTATGAATTTGCTTTATATCTTGTTAATTTGACTTATTGTATGCTGGGATGGGAAAAATGTCAATAGGTAAAATAAAAAATAATTGTCAAGCATAAATATTACTATGACCACTGGTGAGTCGTGTATGAAATAAAACACCAATAGGCATACTGCACGAAAACAACTCCATGTATAGGGTGCGGCGCAAATTACCGAAAATATAACGCGAAATAATAACCGTCATACACCTTTTGCATAACGATGACATGCTTTCTTCAAGAACTTGTTGCCCATTTTAGAATCAAAACTTTACATTGAATTGTGCGCTTTGCTGCAGGAATTACACTTTCGCTTTGCTAACAATCTGTTACAAACTGGACATAATGATATATATCTCTTTCATTTTTCGTTATCCATTTTAAACAATATAATTGCTTATAGTTATTTTGAATTACATATACCAGAAAATATATCACAATTAAAATAATTATTATGTTATACATTAAAATAGACTGGCAAAAACTGCTCTGTGCAGCGAAGAAAAGGGGATCATTGCGTTGGAGATTGCAAACGAAAAACAAGATTGAGACAGAGCAGCATAAAAACGTTCCCCGATGAGGCAACATGTACCAGCAAGCGACGACGTAGGTGGTTCTACTCAGGTGCCCGTTTGTGTCCGAAATACTGCACAGAGGTGTAGCTGAGGTCGTTCCAAACAAGAAAACTTGTGAAGTCGCCATATGACCTCTACATTGTTTGTGCGACGAACAAATTGTGCGCTTTATGGCTTTTTATTATATAGACGATGGTTGCTTTAAGACAGACATCTATGAAATATCAGATTATAAAATCGGTCGGTCTTACAGTCGGAATATTGAGACTAGTCGGCGGGAGACTTTACCCCAGATGAAAATGGATACCTGCCTTTGTGGAATGTTGTCTTGAATAAGAAAATATGCTAAAGGCCTGTTTTTATCCTATAAAAGCCAATGCTTTACAATGAAACGTGATGTTGCTCAAACTGGCTATGATGAACGGTTTTCACGCACTTTCAATTAGTTGCTAAGGCGGCATAGGTTACGACAATAAGTTATGGACTGTGTGACTATACTATTGTTGTAGTGATAAAAATGTATGTTAGTCCTCTATTTATGTGTTAATTAAAACGTGATCTCCATCGGAATACCTCGGCTTGCACCATGGTATATATTTTGAAAAACGTTTATGTTATTTCATTCCTCTACAACATTGCCGTTCGACCAATTTAATGTAGTAAATGCTTACCAAAAGCTATGTCGGTCAAAAGCTATACATAGCTTATGTTTTGTAAAATGTTATATATATACCGACAATAAATAAATTTTGATTTGATTTGATTTGACCAGTAAACCATAACCAATTTAGTGCTTGATATGGTTTGAAATTATTTTCATTAAATTCAGACAATTTACTAAAGTAATTTATAACTGTACTGTGATTCATTTGAAATACTACAATTCTACTAACAAGAAAAAGTCAGCTCCTCATGTAAATAAATAAACACTTACAGACCCTGTACGCCATTAATTGCAAGCTGGCAAGCCATTTCATATCGACGGATACCCACGGCTGATTAATTAACATGTTCATCTCTAACCGGTCGTGGGTATGGATCCGACGATGGCCATTTTAATGAAAACAGAATATCAACAAATGTGAAGTAGAAATAGGGACGAGTAGAAAAATGTGTTTTCATAAAATATGTTCAGAGAATTATTAGAATTTGCACGTAGAAAAATCACTGATTTTTTTTATTTATTTACTATCTAAGTATAGACCCTGAGACCACAGCCTTTAGAAAGCTACGGCGGCTGCCTAATTGAACAACAAAATTAATTTCCGAGTAAAAGTAAATCTATAAATGAAAGAAATAACCAAAGTAATTATGACATCATTACAGTATATCTAAAAAGAGAAATCTGTGACATAAAACAAGGTTACAATACCTTACAAAACCGATATTTAATGAGAACTAATTATAAGAATAACAAGAGCTGTCACAGGAGACAGCGAAGCTCGACTAATAAAATACTGGACGCAGTAAGGAGGACAAAACTATGAAAGACAAATCAATTATGTATAATTACGTATTAAGTTATAGTAAAAAAATAACATTTGTTAACATAAATTCCAAGATCAAGAGGAATAATTATAGAAATAGTCATGCTAGAGTTATGGATCTTGCCACACAACATTTGTGTAATGATAAGAAATATATATTTGAAGTTTGAAGTAGATACCTTAAAAAATAAAGAAGTTATTATATTTCTTAAAGAAAATCCTAAGTTCAAAGAGAGATAAATCTGTAAATATTGCTTCAAGAGTTATGAACATTGTCACATAAAATGTAATTAATGATAAGGTATAAGTATTTGAAGTTTGAGGTAGATACCTTTAAAAATAAAAAAGTTAAAATAAAAAATAACATTTTTCTAGTAAATAAATCTAAGTTTATGGGGAGCTAATTCTTGCAATATTGGTGCTAGAGTTATGAACCTTGTCACATAAGATGTGGATAATGATTACGTAAATATATTTGAAGTATGAAGTTGATCCCTTTAGAAATAAATAAGTTACAGTAAAAAATAATATTTTTTATGGAAAATTCTAAGTTCAAAGGGAGATAAATCTGAAAACATTGGTGCTAGAGTTATGAACCTTGTCACATAAGATGGGGATGATGATAACGTAAATATATTTGAAGTATTCGGTCGATCCCTTAAGAAACAAAGAAGAAACAGTAAGAAATAGTATTTTTTGAGGAAAATTCTAAGTTCAAGGGGAGATAAATCTGAAAATATTGGTGCTAGAGTTATGAACCTTGTCACATAAGATGGGGATGATGATAAGGTACATATATTTGAAGTATGAGGTTGATCCCTTAAGAAATAAAGAAGTATCAGTAAAAAAAATAGTATTTTTTAAGGAAAATTCTAAGTTCAAGGGGAGATAAATCTGAAAATATTGGTGCTAGAGTTATGAACCTTGTCACATAAGATGTGGTTGATGATAAGGAACATATATTTGAAGTTTGAAGTTGATACCTTAAGAAATGACAAAGTTATAGTGAAAAATATTTTACTGCACCAAAACTTTAATCTAAAATCTGGACGCGGACGCGGACGCCGACGCCGGGGCGAGTAGGACAGCTCTCCATATACTTCGTATAGTCGAGCTAAAAATTGGAAATAATAAAATATAAGTTGTGGGAGATCAGAAATTTAGAAAAAAATCGACAATTGCGTAAGTAATTATTGTATAAGTTTTCATCCAAAGGAGTGTTCTGTTACCCTTAAACTCATGTTTTTATAATTATCTTTTTAGCTCACCTGAGCCTCCTGTCACCTTCTACGATCCTCAACAAATAAAAACACTACACTGTACAAGACCTTGTTTTATCAAATCTTTGTTAAAATCAAACCAAAAATAAATTTGCTAGTAAACAGACAAGTTTAATTATGCTTCCTTTTCCATTTCAACTGGTAATACAAACTTGTACAGCAAGGGAAATAATTATGTGGAAATGACTGTCAGGGATATCTTCCCTTTAGAAATGCATAATTTTTTATGCAAATTGAATATCTATGATAATTTTCGATAAACAAACCTTAACAAAGAGGTTAACCAAGAAATTCTACGTAAGAAAAAAGGGCAAAAGTGATTTTGAAAACGAATTACTTTCATAACAAACCTAGGCAATTTCATTTTTTTTAGAAAACAAGAAGACCATCTGCCCAAAAGCGCTCTCCTGAAGACAAAGTGGTAAAGCGTTCTTAACAGTTCAATTTTTTAGTTTTTGTTTGTTTGTTTGTTTTGGGTTTTACGTCACATCGACACAGTATAGGTCATATCGCGACGTTCCAGCTTTACTGGTGGAGGAAGACCGCAGGTGCCCTTCCGTGCATTATTTCAGGCACGAACGGGTACCTGAGTAGAACCACCGACGTTCCGTAAGCTAGCTGGATATCTTCCTCACGTGAAAGAATCCAAAGTCCCTGTCGGGATTCGAACCCACAGAGGTATGGGGCAAGTGGTTTGAAGTCAACGACCTTAACCACTCGGCCACGGACGCCTCCAATTGTTTAGTTATTAATGACACTGTGATCTTGACCTTCAGCTGAATGACCTCAAAATCAATAGAGGTCACCTACTTGTCATAACTCCACACCATACCATAGGACTTTAGATCAATGGCGTTCAAGAAAAGAATATTTATCATTGTTTAATATGTAAATAAAGTGAAAACCCTAACTAATGATTTGAACAATTTGATAGAGGTCAACTAGAAAATGTTTCAGGCCAAATATCGAAGCTTTAGCCTTTCAACGAAACAGATATTCTTGAAGAAAATTCTTGAAAGTTATAGTATTATTTATGACAAGTCTATTTTGACCACTAGACCATCATATCCGCAACCTTCGTAGCGGTCTACAGGATGATATTTCATGCCAAAAATCTTAGCTCTAACACTTGGGCTTTCAAAGAAAAATATTTCTGTAGGTTTTACTATATAGGAACACCCATTGTCACTAAAAGGACCTATAAACCTTCCAGTGATGCCAGTTGTGTGCAAATTTGGTCCAAATTAAAAAAAAGAGACTGCTACGATGCAGTAAAATATTTTTAGAGGACTTGACAAACAGCCATTGATTTTAAAATCTCAAAGTAATTGAACAAAAAAATATATTTTTTCTTAAATCGCATTATAAAGTGGCATGAGTTTTTTGGCATCCATTACAACAAACTAATTAGAATTTTATGATAAGAAAATAACATCATCTCAGTAAAACATGTCATCAGTACAATGTGATCAACTGAAAAGTATTTAATCCTGAACATGCTAAATAAGATAAATGGACTTGTCCATCGTAAAAAAATAGACCAAACCATTCATTTATTTTAGGGAAAATAAGTATTGACTGAATAGTGCAGACCACATATGTGTTGGCTTTGGACTGCAATGATTGCATAGGTAGATTCAGACAGTTGCAGACAGTAAGCTAAGAGTTAAACACTTTTCACAACATATTTTACACACAGGCGGCAGTATCAGTGTTTGGACACCCCACCCCTATCTGCCCCTGGACCCCTACTACAACTATAATTTTGATAGTGGAAATTTTTTTTTTTAATATATAATTTCATCGGTGGTTTTGTATTTGGTACCTTATAGTAAGCCTTAGAGTGTTGAATTTTTTTTCAGGATTGTAGTAGGGGTCCAGGGGCAGATAGGGGTGGGGTGTCCAAACACTGATACTGCCGCCTGTGATTTTACATACATGTGAACTTTTTCCAATGATCAAGTGGGAGATTTTTCTTCAAAAAGAGGGAGATTTTAGAATTTGCAATAAACAAAGAAGAAAGTTTTGTTATCAAAAATAGGGAGATTTCTTTAATTTGTGAAAATACCCCTTATTTTAAGAAAATCTTTAAAAATACCGCCTCAGAAAGTGGGAGTCCCCCGCTAAAAGTGGGAGAATTCACATATATGTATTTTATCTAATTTAAAATATTAAAATAAAAAATAACAAGAACTGTCGGAGGACAGTAACGCTCGACTATTCGAAAATTTGTCACAAGGGTGTTTCATTGAGTATAATAATGCTTACCTATATGAATACATAAAATTGTCCGAAAAGGTACAAACTCTTCAAGTTTCAATACATTCCCTTCAGTAGTTATGGAGAGACAAGCTTACATGCAAAAACTTTACCAAGAATTCATGAGTCGAAAAAGGGGCATAATTATGCAAAAAAAGCAAATCAGAGTTATTGGACTTGTACCAATCATCTTAGATAATCACAGAGACCAAGTGTGTGAAGTTTCAATCCATTCCCTTCAGTAGTTATGGAGATACCAGCTTACATGCAAAAACTTAACCAAGAATTTCTAAGTCGAAAAAGGGGCATTATTATGTAAAAAAGCAAATCAGAGTTATGGGACTTGTGGCAATTATCTTAGATAATCACAGAGAACAAGTGTGTGAAGTTTCAATCCATTCCCTTCAGTAGTTATGGAGATACCAGCTTACATGCAAAAACTTAACCAAGAATTTCTAAGTCGAAAAAGGGGCATAATTATGTAAAAAAGCAAATCAGAGTTATGGGACTTGAGCCAATCATCTTAGATAATCACAGAGAACAAGTGTGTGAAGTTTCAATCAATTCCCTTCAGTAGTTATGGAGATAACAGCTTACATACAAAAACTTAACCAAGAATTTCTAAGTCGAAAAAGGGGCATAATTATGAAAAAAAGCATATCAGAGTTATGGGACTTGTGCCAATCATCTTAGATAATCACAGAGAACAAGTGTGTGAAGTTTCAATCCATTCCCTTCAGTAGTTATGGAGATACCAGCTTACATACAAAAACTTAACCAAGAATTTCTAAGTCGAAAAAGGGGCATAATTATAAAAGAAAGCAAATCAGAGTTATGGGACTTGTGCCAATCATCTTAGATAATCATAGAGAACAAGTGTGTGAAGTTTCAATCCATTCCCTTCAGTAGTTATGGAGATACCAGCTTACATACAAAAACTTAACCAAGAATTTCTAAGTCGAAAAAGGGGCATAATTATGAAAAAAAGCAAATCAGAGTTATGGGACTTGTGCCAATCATCTTAGATAATCACAGAGAACAAGTGTGTGAAGTTTCAATCCATTCCCTTCAGTAGTTATGGAGATACCAGCTTACATACAAAAACTTAACCACAGGGACGCCGACGCCGACAAATGGGTGACTGCATTAGCTCGATTATTCTGCGAATAGTCGAGCTAAAAACAAAACAAAACAAACAAACAAAAATAGTGTTGTTTAGATTAAATAATAAGTAGCACAATATAAATGTATCACTAACAAAATAACAGAATTTGCAAGATTACAAAAAAGTATCTTCAGTTACAAATATAATTATTAACATTTTGCCCTCTTGGCACTCACAGAACATAGGGTCTTAAACAATGCACTAGAATTTAGAGTCTTTAAACCATTTTGTTTACACTTTGCTTTTCCTATCCTAAAGAATTCAACACGCAGCACTGATTCAGATAATAAACATCTCACATGTTTTTAACCCATTGTTAATTTTACAACATTATAAAATCACATGTTTGCACTTTCTACAGGAAAGAGACAAAAATCATTTCTGAGGCTTAATGTGCCTTTAAGGGATTTCAATATCAAAGTACAAAAAATGAGCTGCCAATAGAATGTGCAGATTAGCATCACCAGTCTTGGTGGCGATGATCGCTTTTAGATGGTATATATATTTATACATAGTTGTTTTCACCATTTCAACTTAAAGTATTAAAGACATGACCTCATATCATATGTGAGATGCCTTAAAATCTGTTATATAATGAATTCAATTGATCTTAACCTATTTCTGGTAATTGTTTAATTTTCAATTATAAAAGATTTTCTTTTTTTAAAATTCAAAATTGTTCTTGTTTTTTAAGGCTTAATCAAGTGCATTGTTGTTTTTTTTTCTAATTCCATAGGAAAGGAATGGGAACATACTCATTGAAACCAAGGCAATATTTCTAACTGAAGCAAAGATAGTAAATAAACATGTATATTAAATATTCATGTATATACATGTACAAATGTATGTAATGAATGGGAATCTCAAAATTTAGCATAATTTAATTTAGTCTGTTTTCTAAGAAATGTGACGACTTACAAACAGGTCTGGTAAAATCAATCACCCAGGTTGTTGGACAGCCTGTACAGAAAAGTGGTATTTTTTCCATGGTTAACTTTATAAATATCAAAAGAACAAGTACAGAAATACTTTCGAAGGTCAAAATCAGACTTTGTCTGCTGGTGACAAATGAAGTGATATCAGTTTCTGTTTCAAAATCAGATAATAACTTTTCAGATTAGTTTTTTCTCTCTCTCCAGAAATGACAATAAGACAATGGCAAGTCCATCCCCTCTGAGTGAATATATACATAAAACGCTGTGGTATAGTGGTTAGCATACTGGACCGGCAATCCAGAGATCCGTGTTCGAGTCCGGGCTGTGGCGTGTAGATTTTTTGTGCAATTTACATAAATATATATATAAAATGTGTCCTTCTTTTAGCAAAATTCCACCATACAATTAATACATAGTGAAAGAAATATCCCACACATTTTAAGATTCTTTTTACAATATTGGATGCTCTTGAAAATAACAAAAAATCAAAACCAAAAAATCCTGTAATAAAAGAGGAATTAAAATCTGAAAACAGACATTAAAAGTTAATTAGATATCCTGAAACAACGTTTGTCCATCTAATTAATTTTTTTTTCTTGGAAAATAATAAATAGTTTAATGTCTTCACAAATTTGTTTTCTACGTCACCAGATAATTTTAGATATCTCGCCAACATTTTAAGAAAAAATTTTTAATAGTTCATAGTGGGTGGTCCAACTTTAAACATAATTGCATATCAACTTCACTGTCCAATCACAAACTTTTAGAGAAAATACTTTAACAATTTTAGTATCAAAACATTTAGCAATATTGTTTCTACTTCGATGTTTGATATTTTCATATCCATTAAAATGAGCTATTTCTAGTGAAAGTTAAAATTTTCAGTGCTTGTTACAAAACAGTTATAGAATATCTTTGTAACTTCCATACTTGTACAAGTAAATCCTTTACCTGGTGATTTTGTTAAATTATACTAGTAAATTTGCCCTCCTTTAAATTAAGAGTTTATGAGATATCATTTATCAAAATATAAAAATTTCAGGCTACTAACAGTAAAGACTAGAACCTTGTCAGAGTGTACAGTTGTGCAGACTGGCCTTTTAAGACCCTAATTACAAAGTAAGAAAAACTGCTAAGCGAAAAAGCATGGTCCTAAATCAGACTCCCGCGGATGCGCAGGCTGTTCTGGATCCATGTTTGTTCGCAAACCATTAGTTGGTTTTTTTAAAATGAACACGGCTTTTTATGTTGACGCAATTAAGACGCAGACAGAATCACAGAGAAGTTTTTAAACAAGTCGTGTGACTTGAACAAACCCTGGAAGATACAATAACAAATATTGTGGATATTGTATGGTTGAAACAAGTCTTATTCATTCATTTGCCATGTTCTTTAATGTTTCCAGAGTTCACTGTGAAAACTTTTGCAAAAATCTTAACACTAGGAAACCACAATATTTTCATTTATAAAGAGAAAAGTTTTGTTCCTGTCACTGCCTAGTGTATTCATTTTGAGGACATTTACATAATAATGAATGAAAAATTTAGAACGAAGAAATGAAAATTTTGCCTGTGTCTCTCTTTAAGAGTTGAAATCACCTTGACAACAAGGTTGAGAACAAGGGACAGCAACCTCAACCATTATCTCACATAAGCTATTGAATAGAATATTGTAAGGTGTTGAATTGTTTCATTTGAGTTTTACTTGAACGGTCATCTTTTATTAGTACGTGTACAACAAGGTAATCGGCAATTTCAGCACTTCAACTTGCAACTGTGAGAACACACATGGTAATACAGTGTATTTACAACATATACTTATAGTTGGTATCTAAAATGGAGATGACTGTATCTGCTTTTAAAAAGCTAATCTATATATTAATCTGGTACATTTACATTATGATTTGTGGAAACAACATATATCAGCATGACTTAAAAGATTCATATGCAATAATTTTTGTAAAATTATTTTAAAACACATATAGCAACCATACATGCATTATTAGTTTAACATTATTTTAAATATTGAGACTTTCTTCCTTTCAGCTCAATTTTATTGTATAAGACTTGACTACTGGCATGCAAGCAGTATCCGTACAAAAATTGTAGTTTCCTAAAAAATATTTCTTATTACGCTCACACACTAAAAAATTGATTGTTACACTTTAATTTTCAGCTCGTCACACAAATTATGAAAATTTCATTATGTTCTAAACATAGAATAACTCTTAGTTATTAGGCCTCATAAGGGGTACCAAAATTATCCATTATTTTGTATGAAGAGAAGTAGTTCCCGTACAAAAAATATAACCCATTATAATTATACAATGTTGTTATATTAGATCTATTTTTAATTGTTCAAACGACAATTTTCTAAGAGGTAAGTAGATGTCAGGATATCTGTAGAGTGTAGACTAAACACTGGTATTACCCGGTACCGTTACCCCCAACGCATTTGCAAGCAATGGCGTGCTTGTACCCATGATATTGTACCCATTAAAGCCATAAAATTATTTACTTAGTAATATAGGTCAAAATTCTTATAATTAAACACGTTTTTATCGCATTGCTCACTTATCTGTACACAAGTGGTATTAGTGGAAAACCCTTAAATAGTTAAATAGGCCTCATATATGTAAATAGTTTTGCGCATGCGCGCTAGGGCGGAATCCCCCAACGTTTACAAGGTCACGTTTTGACAACACACAGGTGAAAGTGATTTTAAATAAAAACTTTTGTACATATTGCCAATTTGACACTTAGATTTTGTCTTGTTCATACATCTGTTTGATTTGATATCAATTTTTTAAGAATGCAAGTGAAAATCAAGCATTTAAAACAAAAATACGGGTACTGCTTCTGTACGGGAACTGCTTGCATGCCAGTAGAGTATGAAGTAATTTGACATACCAATAGTTTCATTAATTAACTTTCATGCAGAACTTTTATATAAAAGCAAAATAAATGGAATGGGGATTATAGCTCAATATATCTCAAAGTTGAGATTGACCGTTCTTACGTACTGGTAATATTCAATCATCAAAAATAAATGACCTTTACTTGATGTAGTATAAATACAAAATTAAGCCTAAAATTATACGTAACAAAGATTGGTTAAAAAGACAAATGCTAGTTTAAACCTGAAAAACTTTTTTGATTTTTTTTTATACAAAATATACTGTATGACTAAGTAATACAAATTCCTGAGTCATAAATAATATGTATACATATGACCTAATATGAAGACACTGATTTCATATAAGCTGATATCAAATCAACATTTATGTTCCTCTACTATTTCATACACACAAGTATTCTTTGCAGCAACAACAAAAACATCAATGCAACAAAAGACTTAACAATTTTCAATATATCATAAGTTGGTGCCATTTGTTGTAGATAATTTGTTGAGTTCACTAATGTTAACACCACAGGTATCCTGTGCTTTTTCATCGACATTACTTTCAATCACATCATTAGTTTCCGTAACTTCATCAGTACCATTGTGTTTGAGATCATTACCTCTATGATACCATTTACTCCAGTCATCAAATAAATCCTGATCCAGTTTTGTTTGGAGAGTATCTGCTGCCTGTATATGTAAGAAAGGTATATGTGATCCATACTGACTAATATGTAAAGCTTCGTCCTCAATATTTTCTTTGTGTGAACTTTCTAATATATCTCCTGGCATGTGATGTTGCTTTCCATATTTCACGTACGAAAAATACCAATCGAACCCAAAGGAAACAGAATTGTCAAAAAGTACCCTATATTTAGTTGGCAGGAAATAAAAGTTAACGATTTGGGCTGGGGGCCATACAATCCATTCAGCAGCATATAATGTTTTTCCTTTTTCTATAAGTTCGTTCTTTAACTCTTTTCCCCTTTTTCCTTCTAAATAAGAAGTCACAGAAAGAAAAGAAGTAATTGCAACAGGTGAGCATATAAACTGGTCCACTAAGAGTTTCTTCATTATTATACCAACAGATCTCCCTGGTAACCACCAATCAAGCAAGATGTACCAGTAATGACAGAATGGACCAATCAGAAACCCCGTTACAGCTACATCTCTGCTCCTACGCTTATCCCAGCATGCAATTTCCTTTTGAGCAATCTGATAATTCTGTTGAAGACCATCTCCAGCACAAGACATAAATACAGATATAGCAGTGTTTGTATAGAGAAGATATTTCTGGGAGAACAACTTCTTTAATTTTCCCCTTAATGACACTACCAACCGAGTGTTGTACACTTTTAAAGCTCTGGACATACTTGTCTTCTGTCTTTTTATTTTACATCATCTGGAAATAAAAAAAAGAAGAAGTTTTATTGCCAGGGAACTGTCACACTGATTGAAGCTAGGACTCATGATTCATATATACAATCTATGCTGAACTTCAAGCACTTTTTAAAGCACATTTTCCCATTATTCAAGCACTTTTTGGTGCACATATATCACTTGTTACCAATGATTACGTAACTAAAAACAGTCATGAATTGATGATAAAACACTTCAGACTTTATAATGACTATTTTATGATTTTAAATTTTTCAAATTCCAATTTCAAAGAGAACATTATTGATTTATTTCTGAGAAATGGACCTTATTAACACCAACACTAAAAGAGGTTTATGACATCCTTGACACCTTTTTTCCTTTGAAAAGTGGGTTAAAAAAAAAGTCAGACCAACCAAACAGCTCTATAGAAAAAGTGTATGTGCCCCATTACAGGCAGTATTACTTGGTATTATGAGTACCAGGCATAATTACCTGGTATTATGAGTACCAGTCATAATTACCTGGTATTATGAGTACCAGTCATAATTACCTGGTATTATGAGTACCAGTCATAATTACCTGGTATTATGAGTACCAGTCATAATTACCTGGTATTATGAGTACCAGTCATAATTACCTGGTATTATGAGTACCAGTCATAATTACCTGGTATTATGAGTACCAGTCATGTTGTCACATTTGTAAATTACTATGTAATAAAGTAATTATCATGGTATATTAATTCTACTTATCTATATTGGAGAGTCACTTAATTACATTTCTATCAGAAATAATAAGGCTAAATTTTTATAAAATAATCATGTTTTTAAGATTCTATCACAGGCATTTAGGCAAGCCTCAAAAATATCTTTGTTTCCCCTCCAACAATCTATGCCAGATGGTTGGAAGGAAAAATAATTCTTTTATCAAAAAATATTTATTTTACTGATCATATTATTTTTATGGAATAAGAATTTCAGAAGAGAAATTGTTATTTAACCATGAAAACCAATCATGATTGTTTGACAGTTTTAATCAATAAGCATCCCAGGTTGTATATAAGCAATACAAGAAATAAGACTAACATAATGATAAATATTACAGGAAAAAAAAGTTTTTTTTTACCTAAAAATACTCTTTACTGATAATAGTACAATGTACATGCATAAAATACATGTACCTAAATTTTTAGGTTTTCAAAACAATTTTGATAGTACCTCAATTTTTAGGTTTTCAAAACAATTTTGAATGATGTAAACCAAAGTTTCACAGTTTTAATCATAAGCATCCCAGTTTGTATATTAGTAATACAAAAACGTATGAAACAAACAAAACTGTACTTCTTATTGACAGAATCTGTAAGCATGGTAAGTCTCCACTAAAAAGCTTGTTTGACAATAAATTATCTTGGGCAGGGGCGATTTCTGTGAATAGAGGCAACCAACAATATTCTTACATGTACTTTTCCACAGCACAAAATCTCAACAAATTTATTTCAACGTATATTAATTAAATTTTCAACATCCAACAACTTGAATCTGTGCAACAAATAATTAAATGATAAATAATCAGTTCATACAATTTCTTAGGTTAATTATGATACAAAAAATACTTTGTTGATATCGTAAGTGCCAGAAGTGTCCTTCTATAGTATATACACAGCTGGTCTCTTTAACTTCAATACAGAGTTAGTGCTTGCAAAAAGGTTGTCATGATTTTCTTCAAGTAATGAGCATTTGAGCCGTGTCACGACAAAACCAACATAATGGGTTTGCGACCAGCATGGATCCAGACCAGCCTGCGCATCCGTGCAGTCTGATCAGGATCCATGCTGTTTGCTATCAGTTTCTCTACTTGTTATAGAGTTTGTAAGCGAACAGCATGGATCCTGATCAGACTGCGCGGATGCGCAGGCTGGTCTGGATCCATGCTGGTCGCAAACCCATTATGTTGGTTTTGTCATGACGAGGCTCATTTGATATCAAACTGGTAGTATTTGCCTGCATAACAAAATGATAAAATAAAGCTGCACAAAATATATATATTTATAATATATAATATAGTTTATATTATATTTATAATAATATAATATAGTTTAAGTCATTGTAATGAATATGAAATCTGCATGATACATTATACAATACTTTGTTTCTTTATAATATTTAACTATCTATTCAGTTATGGAATTTAGCACTGGCCCGGCTGCCCATGGCCAGTGAAAATTAGTTTGGGCCAGTGTAAATTTTAAGAAAATTTAGTTAAATATATAGTAGAATAAATTCAAAACTGGAATTTTGGCCAGTAGATTCAAAATCTTAAATTCAATGACTGCTATTTGCAAGACCCATCAAATTGAGATGGTTTGACCGACACATTGAGACCAGGTTTGACAAAGACAGTATTTGTAAAACTTAAATCTGTTTAAATTTTTTGTAACGACGTAAGTAATGATCTTTTTAGTTTTTTGAAAAAAAAACACTGCTTCATGCTGCCATAAATTTTAGCTGTGTGTCCTTAATGACAAAGGGAACAGTACATGTACTTTTTAAACTGCTTTTGTTCATTATAAATGGTGTCTTTCATAAAAAAATCCATATCAGGGTTGTCAAAATATAGAACAAGAGGGCCAAGATGGCCCTTGATCGCTCACCTGACCGATCAAACTCATCCAAGCGATTACCAAGACAAGAATCCTGACCAAGTTCAATGTGTATTCTAGGAGTGGGGATGGGGGATTCACCCCTATTTATGAGAATTCCCCCCCCCCCCCATTTTTTCAGAGTCAGGGGTGAAATTTTACATGGAGAAAGTAGGAAAAAAATCAACAAATGTAATAAATTCTCACTTTTCGATAAAAATCCCCCCTGTTTTTCAAATCCTAGAATAGACACTGCAAGTTTCATGATAGTTGGGTAAAAAATGTGACCACTAGAGTGTTTACAAGTTTTTTTCATATTTTGGCAGTGTGACCTAGTTTTTGACCCCAGGTGACCCATATTCGAACTTGGCCTAGAAATCATCAAAACAAACTTTCAGACCAACTTCCAGGATATTTGGATTAAAACAGTAGCCACTAGAGTGTTGACAAGATTGTTTTATTTTCAGCTCCTGCAGTGTTTTTTTTCTTAATATAACTACTACCCTAAAACGGTACTGTTCCCAATAGAAAATAGACATTAAAATTCCCAATTTCCAATATTAAATGCCCAAAATGGCTGTTCAAAATGCCCACAAGGCCAAGTGACTTTTCTAAAATCATTTAAATCCAACATATTCATATAAATCACCACTCAATAGTTCTATCTGGACAGTAGAAGCTGTTAGCTATCTTTATTCATGATGTCTAATCTTATTTGTAGCTGAAAAAATGCAATAAAAAAATTTCCAATTTTAGTCAAAATAACGAATTTTTTTTTCTAATCAGTCTGGTACCGGCACCTTTCCCAAAGTAGAGAAAAAAAACGCTGTCCTGTGACCTAGTTTTTCATCCGAGATGACCCATGTTTGAACTCATATGAGCAATTGCCTAGAAAAGTTTTACTAGAGTGTTAACAAGTTTTTTCCATATTTGGGCAGTGTGACCTAGATTTTAACTCCAGGTGACCCATATTCGACCTTGACCTAGAAATCATCAAAACAAACTTTCAGACAAATTTCAAAGATATTTGGATTATAACAGTAGCCTCTAGAGTGTGAACAAGATTTTTTTATTTTTAGCTCCTGTGACCTAATTTTTCATCTGTGATGACCCATGTTAGAACTCATCTGAGAAATTACTTAGACAAGCATCCTGACCAAGTTTGATGATGATGAAGTCAAAAATGTGACAACTAGAGTATTAATAATTTAATAAGGTTTTTCAATATTTAGGTGGTGTGACCTAGTTTTTGACCCTATGTGACCCATATACGAACTTGACCTAGAAACAGAGACATAGATAACTCTATGTCTCTGCTAGAAATCATCAAAACAAACATTCAGACTAATTTCCAGGATCTTTGGATCAAAACAGTAACCACTAGAATCTTAACAAATTTTTTATATTTTTAGCTCCTGTGACCTTATGTTTTTTATCTGAGATGACCCATATTCAACTCATCGAGCAATTACCTAGACCAGCATCCTGACATGTTTGATGATGATTGAGTAAAAAATGTGACCACTAGAGTGTTAACAAAGTTTTTCCATCCGAGCAATTACCTTAGTGAGACAAGCATCTTGACAAAGTTTGATGATGATTGCGGCAAAAATGTGACCCTTAGAGTGTTAACGAACAAATGTGGGTAGTCAGACAATTCTCTCCCTTACAAATTCCTCCCCTGACGTTTCCTGCCTGACTGTTCTCTGCCTATTTTGGGAGAGAACTGTCTGCATATTTGCAAATAAGCAGACAGTTCCTCCCCATTTTTATTTTTATCTATACATTTATATCATTGAAGTATTTAGATGTTAAATAAATGGGTAAATTTATTATTAATTGATATAAATTAGAAAAAAATATTTTATTGAAGTATTTAGATGTTAAATAAATGGGTAAGTTTATTTTCATTTGATAAAATAGAAAAAAAATATTTTTAGCATATTAGAATATTATTCTGATTTTTATTTTATTAGATGTAATTGAAAACAATTAATGAATAATTTACTTGATTAGGATATCTGATAATCATTACATATTAATTATTGTGAGTTGTTTTTTTTAATTAATAAGAATAAAATTTATAAGAAAAAATGATGAATGAATTTAAATTGCTAAATTTCATACTTTTGTATAATGAAGAAAGGAGTTCAATACACATTTGGGTTGGGTTATGTTTGCTGTCAAAGTTAATGGAGGCGTTTATCAATTCATTACTCAAGAATCAAGGTGTTGATTAGATTAGAATATCAGTGAAAAGGTGTTGATGAATAAGTATTTTTATCAGTTATATGGTATTAAATATTGTTTCATGTTAATAAATACACATTATTATGACATACTTTAAACAATTTTGTAAAAAAGTATAAATGCAAAATGTAATTGCATACCAATGACTTTCTTGCTTATTTATTTTCTAGAACATGTTTGTTATCACCTTATTCACTATTTAACAAATGAATGCTTATCACTAGACCTTTTCATAATTACAGGTGTATATCAATCACTGTCCAATAATCTTAATCTCTCACAGTGAAGGTGTTGATAGGAATTAAATTAGGATTAAAATACTTGAAAAAGGTGTTTAATTTACAAAACACTTTTCAGATAAACATAAAACATAAAATGCACTTAATTAAACATATTCTTTTCATAATCTTCATTAAGAAATATTCGTAGATCTATAATTCAAAACTTAAATGAGAACTTATATAAAAAAAAAATTGGGGGAGAACTGTCTGCATATTTCAAATTTGGGAGAGAACCGTCAGGGGAGGAAACGGTTTGGGGGAGAACCGTCAGGGGGAGGAACTGGAAAGGGAGAGAATAGTCTGTCATTCCAAATGTGGACGGACGACTACTATAGAACATTAATTAAATCTAAAAATTTTTTTTTTTGGGACAATAAGCACAGTACCACAACACGCTCATGTCAAAATGGACTCTTAAAACTTCCTGCAACAGCTAAATTTGACTCTATGAACTTGTTTCCCCACAAATCACACTTTTTTACAAATTAGATAAGAAACTGTCAACTGGTCAATGGATGAGTACAAAATTTTGATAGAATACTAAGTATCTGTCCAACATTTATGTGTGGATTTATACCGGCGAACACTTTTATCTTGTATATTATTATAGACGTTCAAATATGATTTTTTTTCAAAACAGCTTATATCAAGTTTTTTTTATATATATATGATCAGTGCATGTGCTGGGATTCAAAGGGACCCGGCACAGTGTTGGGATAGTATAAAAAAGGTAATTCTAGAAAAAAAAATATACTTTATATATAATATATAGACCTTGTCTATATATTATATATACAATATATTTTTTTTTAAATTACTTTCTTACACTATCCCAACACTGTGCTGGGTCCCTGTGCTGGGATTGATATCCTGAAGATAAAAAGATAAAGTTTACAGGCCAAGGTTACAGTCGCGAAATCAAGTGACAAATCGATTTTCACATATTATTAAATAATGTTTGGTTGTAATTTGTAAATAAGGATAATATGTACATACATATCATACTTTCATCATTCACTTCTGAGCTGAAATCATAACTTTAAATAAATTTTATATAATCCGGTTTATTAACGGTGTTCAGTGTAAATTCGCCTCGGGTTGATAACCCACTCTCTGATTCTTGGCTGAACACCACTAAATTATAAGCAGTAACGCCCCCCCCCCCACCACCACAGGAGATTGACATCCTACCAATAATTGAAAAATATAAGCAATGATTAAAAAAAATAACGGCAAATGTACCCCTCTATACTATATATAAACACAGGTTATTTATAGTACAGAGGGGTACATTTGTTGTTATTTTTTTAATTATTTGCTTATATTTTTCAATTATTGATAGAATGTCAATCTCCTGTGCTAAAACATATCAAACAAAAAAAAACTAATATTTTTTTATTGAATAATCATAAAAGTGCAAACAATGTGTGCACTCCAAAAAGTACTCCCACTAGTTAGAACAGGTGTGGATCAGAGGGGCTTGTAAAATATCGACAAAGGGTAACACATATCCCAATGGGGGTTGGCATTTTGAAAGTTGTTAGAACCTTTTCATTACTATTTGCACAATTTATGCTAAAAACCTAAAACGATATCCAATTCTCAATAGAGTTGGAAGACATACTTGCCGTATCCCAGGGGCTCATGACCCTCTTCCCCCCCACCATTCCTCACCACCCTCGGGATTTGCACATGCTTTGTTGTAAAACTGTGCTTCTTTTGAAAGCACAATTTTCTTGAAGCTACCTTACTGCACGGTAATTTAGTTCAAGTCATATTAGAATCTCAATCTGATGTTATGTGTATCTTAGTATGTAGTTTCAGATGCTTATTTTGCCAAGGTTGACTTATTACTACATAGAAATTGCATAGATATGTAAATTCTCATGCTTTACATTTCAGAACTAACCCTTAAAGGTTACAACTCCAGATCTTCTGCCAAAAATAAAAATCAAAATATTAAAGAAGATTTCACTTAAATCATTACATTTTTTTTAACAAAGGAAAAAATAATCAACATCTCAAATAGTCATAATTTCATTTATTGTCATCGACAAGAACATATAAACATAGAAATATGAACACAACATTTTACCTTAAATCCAATATGCTACATGTATATCCAATAAATACAAGTTAGATTGTGATCCTACCTATCGTACAGGGTTACATTTCACCTACAATCCAAGTTAATGCAGTAAGTTTAATAACTTTTTTATACCTTACAAATATATCTTCAATGGTGTGTAGTGATCCATATCTTTTATACTAATTAATGAGCCGCGTCACGACAAAACCAACATCCGCGTAGTCTGATAAGGATCCATGCTGGTCGCTTTCATTTTCTCTACTTGTAATAGGGTTTGTAAGCAAACAGCATGGATCCTGATCAGATTGCGCGGATGCGCAGGCTGGTCTGGATCCATGCTGGTCGCAAACACACTATGTTGGTTTTGTTGTGGCGCGGCTAATTTTTTTTTGGGCGTTGTATATATAGTTTAAGTTTCACCGAGACAGAACGTAGTACATGTAAATTATGATGTAATACTATATTTTTGCATGCATCAGTAGACAGATAAAAACTACCTTTACGGGCTTACTAAGACAAAATATCCTTTCAGTTTGATTATGTAGCCAAAGGCCTTTATCAAATTATACACAACAATAACTTTCACTATACTCATGTAGATCTATTTGTAATTTTTTGATTTCATATGATGATAATGTCTTGCAAAGAATGTCAAAATGGCACACAATGTTTTGAGATTAAACATCAGGCCTTGCCATCAATTAGGATCCTTATGTGTTACCATGTGAAGGACTGGAGATCACTTAAATCCTAAAACTCCAAAGTAAAAATCATTAAACATGCACATTATGCCTCAGAAATGTTTTATTTTTATTTCTCAAAAGCTTTTTAAATTTGGTGTACATGTACTTCCATGGTTTCAAGAAAGTTACTCATTGGCCAGTTAGTTACCTGAAGCATCCTTTGCTTCTTTTGCTTTTTGGATATCATTATAGTGATATAGTATTTTGTATTGAGGTAAAAATACTACATTGTTTGCATTTTGCTACTTTTATGACAAATTATTTAACATTTATTGATATTTCTTCAAGTTATAAGCATCTAACATGCTCTAAAAACATTATTTATACATTATAAAATTTGTGTTTTTTCTTTCTAAAGAAGTAAAAATTTATTCGTTTCTGAGGCATAATGTGCCTGAATTCCTTATATTAAAATTTGAAATTCTTACTAAGGTCAAGTAAAGTCACTTAAAATGGAAAAATTTGCAAAGAGTAATAAAGAAAAGCAATTTGCAAAGAGTAATAAAGAAAAACACCTGTTATTTGGAATTACATTGAATATTGATTTTTCTTTTTTTGCAATTCTTAGCTCGATTTGAGCGAAAAGCGTTAATTGGAAACAATACGGTACATCAAATGGTACACAAATCTTGGAAATATATTTTCAGTCCAAGTAAAAAGACAACAACAAAAAAATTTCTATCCAGATAATTACATGCATATAATGTATAGGTACTGAATTTAGATAGAAAACAATAATTCTGTAATATATATTTTTTATTTGTATAAACGTCTTAAAACATAATCATGTATAGATTAGTGTTAATGTGTTAATAATAAAACATCAACAAATTAAATTGGTTTAGGAACAGATGTGTCGCTCAACAAATTCAATTAAAATGCTTACTAATGAACACTAATTCATTTAATGTCTCACTTGATTTACAAGGCTAATTAATAAAAGCCATTTTAATAAAGTAAATGTGTTACAATTTATATCCTATTGACTTAGAAATGATGTCTAACACCAAGTATAGGTTAAAGTTTTTTATACGAATTTAAAAAATTAAATTTAATTTTGTAAATACGTACTTATAAATTTTAACCAGCTTAGTGTTTTAAATTATTTTTATAAACTGTGGATTTACTAGACTGATTAACAGTTTGCCGAAAAAAAACAAAAAACAAAAACAAAAAAAAACAGTTTGCCGATTTACCTAATAAAATTTGTTACGATTCATTTGAAATAGACTGCAATCTTATTGGACAAAAAATAATTTCAAAAACTAAATCCAATTTTTATTATATACCTGTATCAATGTTGCTGTTTTTTTATTGTACATATTTGCATCACATGCAAAAAATGTGATCTGAGGTGGCATTACTGGCACTACATTATTTTAGAAGAATTATCATAAATAAACAAGCATGTATAATACAAGGGCCATTAAAAGGATATTTTGATATACATGTTGTATTTCTTGCATTTGGCTCTCATGGAATTTTCTAGAATGGATCACACTTGGTGCTTCTGTGCCTCACAATATCCTGACCTGATAAAACCTACTTGAAGGTTAAGTAGTTTTAGTAAAGATACTCTTGTCATGACACTTCTATATAATTCTCTTTTTGGACACCTGGACACATTAAAAAGAAAACAGATACATTTAGATCTGTAAATCAGTAGTAATACCAATCCATAAACAAGTAGAAGCATATGAACTTCTAAAAACAACTTCAGCCCCACTCCCCTCCTCCCATATAAGAAGGATTTTTAGAAAGAAAACTGCAGATCATCCTTTTAGGGGGACATAAAACAACCCTGAAATATTAGAATTCAATTACATGGATCCTTAATTTTATCACTAACCATTTTCATATGAATGGTATTCATTGCATAGACAAGAGCTTTTACTTCAATAAATTACACATTCAATAATCAGTAATATAAAATAATAAATAAATAAATGCAACAAAATATTCAGTTCATACAACCATTTCACTTATTCATATCAACTGACTGAATATCAAATACCTTGCCTATAAATAATTGCAACAAACAACACTATTTATATAATTACACAGTCATAAAATTTTAATGTTTTGTTCCAAATTGAAGTCTTATTCATTTAAAACTATTATATCACCCTATATAATAATAACATAGTATACAACATATTGAGGATACTGAATGAGTATATGTTCAATACTGAATTTATTGAACAAGTTGAATAAAATTATATTATGTAAGCCTCTGGTGAGCAAAATATTATTTTATTCAACAAGTTAATAAATTTAGTAATGAAGCTACACAAATATAAATTCTATTTATCACATACCTGAAACAAAATTTGTTAACAGGAAAAAAGAATCTTTCTTTCATGGACTTGCTTATACTGTAATGCTAAAATTTTGCTCCTCTTTCCGCTATGTTGGTATATAACACAAATAATGTCACATCGAAATAAAGCACAGCTGTGAAATGCCGTTTTTATGGAGTCACAGACGCACCATGGGTATGTGATAAATATAACATATCACCATATCTGTCATATGTTATTTATACAACATAATAAATGTATCCGTCATGTGTACAAATTTCAGGCAGTATTCCTAGTATCATACTGATAACAACAGTGAAACTTAGCTAACTCTAGTTAGTCTATACATGTAGATGTGTATTATGACAACTACTATGGCCCAACCAAAAATGCCATGTCTTTCCAACAAATGCTACAAGTAACTCCCACAATTGTCATATGCAAGCACTCCATGGAAATACTCAAGTCTTGATATAGATTGTTTTAATTGTGCTTAACTAATAAAGCCTTTAAAAGTTAGAACTTATTCAAAGCAACTACAATAAACATAACTTTTCCTGTTGCATAAAAATCACTCGCTGTTTTCAAAAGAAACTCCTATTCCACATTAGCTAATTCTCTTGTCACAGATCAATTCTTATGTATCGCATAGAAGTCCTTTTAATCAATTTACTCCACATTTATTTTATTCTATCCTATATAGGATTGCCTATTCTTTATCACTAAATTTGAATGACAAAGTTTTATCACATACATGTATAAATGAAGCTTGTTCTAATAATATACAACCACATGCTTCAATTTTGTTCAATCCTTTTTCACCTCTTTCACAGTCAATTACAGTTATTATCTGGTTATGAAAATATCTGTATGTCATAAACCACATCCCTGATATATTGCTAATATATTCTAAGTTCTACATCATTTTTGGAATGACATTCATTTTCTTTTTCATTTCCTCCGTCAAGGGGGCCTCGTCCTCTTCAAGGTCTCGGATACCCTCGGAATGCTGCTTTTTACCGGCCAGTTCCAGTAATGCCTTAGCGCCACTATCTTTATCCAATATGCTCACCCGGGATTCCTTAAATTCATGATAGAAAAGTAAGAAGTATAATACATTTTAGAAATTCTCCCTAATAATTCCTGTTTTATTAGTAGTTATCAATGATTAACGGCAATTAAAAACAAACATTTTGACATCAAATGTTATTAGAAACAGAAATATCTCTTGAAATGATGTCAAGTTGGAACAACTTTAACAATTCCCAAACTACCGTATAAGTACTTTTTTCTGCGGGAACTTTATTTCTGCTATTTCTGCGGTTTATAGCGACACCGCAGATTTAAAACCCGCAGAAAATTAAGCCTTTGGCTATGTCTACATGTATGTCGGAATATGTCAACTACCTGTGTTGTATAATTACATTACCATGTACCGTTATCAGCTTTTGTAGATGGGGATAATTTTTCTTTATGTACCCGTCATGAATGAAATATTAGAAAAAAAGTTACTTTACTTGTTCTTTTTGTTTAAAAAAATGTCATGTTTGTATGATGTTCGCTCATCCTAAGCTTGATTTATTTTAAAAATAAAACTATTATAGTTTGACGGGTGCAATAAACATACCCTTTTGTATTTGACAATATATTGTGTCAACGTGCGATATTACCATTGTTTATTTTTCACACTTTTGACATATTTATACACATGCAGTATTACAATTAATTGTTGTCATTGCACGTTGTTGATTTTTGTTTATTAACGTTTTGTTTATTGCGTTCATTGAACGCCGCCTTTCCTTGTTGATCTTGTTTATCATATTTTATATACAGATACATGGGGATCACGATGAACACACATTATAAGTCGTCTGCATGTTTACCGTAAGTAATGTGCATGTTACATCAACATATCTTGGAATGTTGTCTGTTTGTATCGGTTAATTTTGTAAAAATATCTAAATTAAAACACAGAAATAAAAAACATCAATGCGAGAATGATGACACCGCAGAAATAAGATACGTAGAAATTTAAAACCCCTTATTTTAACCAAAATCGCAGAATTTTAAGCCCGCAGATATAAGTACTTATACGGTACTAGGAAAAGTTAAAAATTAGTCAATTGTAGTTTTAATCACATAGAATCCATCAACTTCAAAATTCCTACCAAAGAGTAGGTAGTCATGCAAAAGTAGAAAAATCTATTTTTAGCATAAGTGACCTTGACCAAATCAACTGAAAATTCCTTGAAGGGATTGTCCATGCAGATAGTAAGTACAGAATGAATGACAAACAGGAAAAACAAAGCAACAATTATATGTCTAATTTCATATTAAAGGCACATTATGTTTCAGAAACGAAGGAAAGTTGACTTTTTTAGAAAAGGCAAAGATAAATTTATAACGTTTCAATAACAGTTTAGAGCATATTGGATGCTTGTTACCTGAAGAAAGTAGTGCTAAGCAAGTGCGAAAATTAATGTCATAAAATAGCAAAATATAAACAAGTTAGCATTTTGACTTCCATACAAGAAACTAAGTCACTAGAACTGTACTAATTAATTACCAAAAAGCAACAGAAGAAAAAGATGATTAAGGTATTTGGCCAATGATTTACTCCTTGAAAACTATAAAAGTTCACCAAAAATAAAAAATAACTGTAGTCTGTGTAGCATGATGAGTAAACTGTAACATGATACTCTAGGTGCGTACAGCTCCTTTATAATAGAGAGTTCCCTAGATCTTAATATACTACCATCACGGACACTGATATGTAAACACATGTATCATAGAATATAGTTAAGATAATAAACGTAGTTAGAGCACATATATATTTATGTCGTTAAACCCATGACGTAACAGTCTGTAGCGTTTAAAATGTAACATATTTTCTCAGTGTGTGTAAAGATGTTTCTTTTAAATTTCAAAAGAGTCGGTATAGTAATTATCAGATTTTTTCAAATATCAAATTTAAGCATATTATATCTCAAAACAAACTATAAGTTTAATGAAGTTCGAAATTATCAATTATCAAGAATTATCAAGTTTATAAACATACCTCATCATCTGAGTCATGTTTTTTCCTCTCTGGTCCTACAGCCCATATTTCAATACTATCTACAGAAAAATCTGCATTTTTTGACAGCTGTGGACTTCCATATGTCGTACATTTAGGAACTGCTTTACTGTGACCATTGTTAAATGTATAATCTATCCATAGTCCAAAATAATCTAGTTGTCCACCAAGTCCCTGATAAATATTTAAATATGTTTAAAGTATGAAAAAAATGGTTGAGTTCAATTAATGAAACTTGAAAAATACTTTAATCATAATAAACTTGAAAAATACTTTAAGAATTATCAATGAAATTAAAAAGTGAAATTTTCATCTTCACACCTTAAAGGATTAGGCTATACACCTAAAATAGAAAATATTTACAACAAAGTGATGATTCTATTAAAGTTTCTTCATATCAGATGAGAACTACATGTCATATAAAATTCATGAGAGTCTGAGTCTCGCACTGCATCTTTACATTAGCTTATGTGTATTTAAGTTTAAGCTGATCTTATCCGAAAACTGCATACTAGTTTATAATTAAAATTGAAGCTGATATTTTTAGGAGAAAAAAATGTGTATAGAAAATAGGATTGAAATGAAATTATTTTTTCATCAACCTTGAAAGTGATTTGTTGTTATGACAACAGTACAGTCAATATGCATGGCCTTACATCTAGGTATAGTGTTCAGGGGAAAAATTGCTTGACCTAACTGCTGGAGCAATATAGTTTGGAAAAAAGGAAAATCATTCACGTTGTATGTACTTCATTTAAAGAAAATGACTGTATTTTCATAAAAAAACTAAAGGTTTATAATAAAATATCACATAAAACTTAAAACAACAAGATGTTTGTATAACATGCATGTCCCCCTGATCAATATGTCCAGAGTTGCATGTATTGTAACTAAAAAACAATTTTGGCATTAAAAGCCAAAGTGACTTTGACATTTAAGCCTGTAATATGACTTTGACCCTGTGACCCTAAAGTCAATAGGGGTCATCTACAGGCCAAGACCAATACAATTTGAAGTTTGAGGGCCAAGGGCCCATGGGTTGTCAAATTATTGGCCATAAACCATTTGGACATACAAGGACAATAAGAACTTGAACTTTGACCCAGCAACCCCAAAATCAATTGAGGACGAGGGCCCATGGGTTGGCGAGTTATTGGTTGGAAACCATTTGGTTATACAAGGTCAATGTGACCATGACCTTTTACCCTGTAACCCAAAAATTAAAAGGAGTCATCTAATGTCCAAAACCAATACACCTTTGAAGTTTGATGGCCAACGGCCCATCGGTTGTCAAGTTATTGGTTGGAAACCATTTTGACATACTCGGTCAATGTGACCTTGAACTTTCACCCCAAAATCAAAGAGGTCATGTACTGGCCAAGACAAATGCACCTGTGAAGTTTTTGGGCCAAAGGTCCATGAATTATTGGTCGGCAACCAATTTGACATACAAGGTCAATGTGATCTTGATCATTGACCCCTTGACCCCAATATCAATAGGGGTTTAGAAACACAAGGTCAATGTGACTTTGACCAACAATTAATAGGGGTGATCTAATGGCCAAGACCAATACACCGATAACAGGATTATGGGCCCATGCTTTTTCAAGTTCTTGATCGGGAACAATGTGCGACGGGACGGACATACTAAGTTACTCACCAACATCATGCTGCAAATTAATATGACGTCCCTCTCCTTCGAAGGTGGACTTAATAAAGTATATAAAACACTGCAAGTTCTTACCAAGCCATTTGGCATTGTTTCTTGTCCTTGGTTGAAGTAAATGTAGTTAGAATTGTAACCAGTTGTAGTGTACACACCATAATTAGGTTTGATAGAAAACAGAAAACACTCTGAGCTACCTAAAACATAGAAAACTAAATGTTACAAAGTAAGGCACAATAATAAACACTTATTTCTGACTTTACATCAACCGTGTATATTAAATCTTTTTATAGATTTTTTTAATTTCAAAGATCTATTTTGTTGATCAATTCTTGAAAACTAGATCAATTCTTGGATAATTTTACCTAAAAAACCATGCCTCTAGATTCATGCTAATTTTCATGAATAATTTTGGAAATGTCTTTAAAAGTAAAATACTGTGATGTGAACAAAGAAAGTAATTTACATATTGCAGTCAACACTTAAAGTCCACATAAATTACCAAAAAGATTTGAAAATATGCAAAAACAACAGGTAGGATCAAAAACATGTAGCTCAATGCTTTAAGCGAGAAAAACCTGTAGTCTATGACTAATTGCTGTAATTTAGTTATTCTGGAGTTTGGTTTAAATATCATATACCTGTTGATATATCATAACAAAACATTCTGCCATAGGTGCAATGGCAACTCACTAGATACAGGACAAAGAAATCATTAATATTAATTACATTAGAAAACAGGACTGATCAGTCCTGTCAATAATCCCCTTAAAATGGATAAACCCAGTATACTCCTGCATATTTCTCCTCTTGGCTTTAGGTTAACGGTGTTTTTTATACTTTTTGAAAACATCATTTAGAACAAAGGTATATTGCATCCTTCAAAATGTATAAAAGGAATAATCGTTTACTTTGGAATTAAGCATAAATCATAAAAGCTCCAAAACATATGTAGATTTTAACCAGTGTATTAGTTTAGTTGAGCTTGTGTTTAAAGTATAATTATACATATACAACCTTAACTTCTAAATAAATGAAAAATTTACATATGTTTAATCTCATAAAGTTTCAAAAAAGTTTACCATAAAATGTAGGTTTAATTTCCCAACTGTCAGAAACATAAGCTCCAAACACATGTCCATCTTTGTCTTTGACTAACAATACATTTGGCCCCTTGCCAAGAACGTAGCGTGTCAACTGAGCGAAGCTGTCACCATGGAGACTGTTGCTATATAGAAGTCGCCATATTGACTGATGCTCTCTGGGAAGGTGGTAGTTTATATAACTGATTGATAATGTTTCTAATATTGTGGTAGTTTTATTCCAATCTACATTAGATGCTGCTGGCATGAATGACTGTATTATATTATGTGCACTGTCTTTCTGAAATGACAATTTGCAACATAACATTAAAGACATCAAAGGACTTAAAGGTTTTCAAAATCACTATTAGAACAGTCTTTTTAACTGCTCAGTATATGAAAATTTTAATGTAAATCAATACAAATTCAGTTTTAAAGTTTTAACTGACTAATTAACTTACCCAAACTCAAAGGTTTAGAACTGAATATAATTAAAGGACATTTAAATGATTCTATATAAATGACACATTTAGGAATATTTCTGTTGAAAGTAATTAGTATCACTATGCATTAAGATCTGGTTTTATCTATTAACAAGCAAATTCGTTGAATTTATATCCCCCGCCGAGTACTGGTTATTATTCACGCAACAACTGAAGACATAAGGCTTTATTTATATATTAATCATGGCATAAACAGTAATATTCTTCGAACTTGATACATATTCAGGGCAATAACAGAGCCATAACTTTGTGTTAAATAGTAAAATCTGGAAATGCCAATGAGATGTATGCATACTACATAACTAATCAAGGGCCATAAATCTGAGTTATAACTATCTGACTGGAACAAGGCGACTATATGCACATCTCCTCTTAGTATCCCATAAAGTTTCATTGAATTCCAGCCAGTAGTAGCAGAGAAGTAGCGAGGAAACAAATATTTTTCTATATGGATACTGCATAACTTATCAAGGGCCATAACTCTGAATTAAAGTGAATGACCGGAACAAGCTGACGATATGCGCATCTCCTCTTGGTATTGAAGGTTCCCATAAAGTTTCGTTGAATTCCAGCCAGTAGTTGCAGAGAAGTAGTGCGGAAACAATTTTTACTCCATATGCATATTGCATAACTAATCAAGGGCCATAATTCTGAGTTAAAGTGTCTGACCGGAACAAGCCGACCATATGCGCATCCCCTCTTGATATTAATGATTCCCATAAAGTTTCGTTGAATTCCAGCCAGTAGTTGCAGAGAACTACTCCGGAAACGATTTTTACTCTATATGCATACTACATAACTAATCAAGGGCCATAACTCTGAGTTAAAGGGTTGGACCGGAACAAGCCGACGATATGCGCATCTCCTCTTGATATTGATGATTCCCATAAAGTTTCGATGAATTCCAGCCAGTAGTTGCAGAGAACTACTCCGGAAACGAACTTCGGACAGACGGACGGAAGGACGGACAACGCCAAAACTATATCCCCCTCCCGATTCCATCGGCTGGGGATAATAAAACAGATTTATTGCAACATTCTTTGCTGTCACACAAATGTCTATGTCACAGCAGGGTTTGACAAGAGTGGAAGAAATATATATAAAACATCAACTGTACCGATATCACAGGAAACAGATGATAAAAGACTCTGTCAAACATTTTCAGGAACATATGACACTTTGAGAGCCAGTCTTCAACTTCATCTTGGCTCTTGTATCCTCCTCCCACATCAATTTCATTCTGGCTATTCTCTTCTACTCCCCTGTCAATGTCACAGAATTTGTTCTGAGCTAGGAATGAAATAGAAAGTCTAGAAACATCTTCCGATGATACTTGATATTTCCATGTTTTACAAGGTGTGTCACTCTTACTAATGTGGAGATAACTTTTGATAACATTGTTCACTGTCTGAAATGAAAAACAGTTCATTTTACACAAAAAGTTCTCATTTATGTCTCACTGCTGTATTTTTAAAAGAATTTAGCATCACATTTTTTCTTAAACAATTTTTTTACTATTACACATGTGTACATGTGTATATCAAACTGATTGGTAAAATGATCAAATAAGAAAAGGAAATATATCCTTAACCGTAAAGTTATCCCTTAAAGAAACAAGAAGTAGGTATTGTAATTATGATGGCAAATAATCTGAGAGTTTCATTAAGACTTGATTAAAACTATTATTTCTAACAATTTGCAACCAAAGTTTTGTTTCCCTTGATGTGCCATTTGGCCTGTATGTTAATGCCTTAAAATATTGATCAAACGTAACACAGCTGCCAATATTATCTAGAGAATAATTGAAATAAAAATTAGACCTCCATATAATGTAACCAATAACTTCTTCTTTTCTTATTTAATGTTTTTTTTGGTCCAAAAAAAAGCACATAATTATATGGCACCTTTACCCTTTAGTTCACACCTACAGTGAAAAACATTGCTTGTACATTACCTGATATAATTTCCTCACTGGAACAAAGCCATCATCCCGCCCACTCAACAGGCAGAAAACATCTGCTTTTTCAGAGTATGTACCCTTCAGACATTGAGCAAGGAACCCGGCAAACTGTACTTCTGTAACATGCTTGTCTTGAATTTGTCCTTTATTTATACCACAATGGCAGACAGCATGGAACACATCTAAGTCGAGATTTATGAACTTTTCTATATGTTTCTGAAAACAGACAAATGTCATACTAATTAACATTAAGTAGAAGTGACATAATAAGAAACAATTAAAGAATATATAGAATTCTATACCTATCAATGAAATTTTCAGTGTCAGTTCTAATTGGGCAACTCCATTTTCAATGTAACTCAATGATAATAGGCGGGGTATTTCGATAACAGAACAATCGCAACTTTTTGGATTAACAAATCAAACAATAATCATCGAGTGTTCCAAGTGAAAATGGAAGTGGTGCATGAAACACTAAATGACACCTTTAGAACTGAAAAATGAACAATTTTTTTTTTTTTAACTGACTTTACTGTTCATACATGTAGGCTTTGCCATTGGGGGATAACTCTCCAACTAATAAGCTGGCAATTTAATCATCACACAGTAGTTTTGGGTACTTGTATGATATTAACATTTTTTCATATTTATATATTCTGGAACATAATACAATGGGAAAAGAAACTGATTATTATCGCGGCCTTATCTCATCCAAAATAGGGGCGTCCGTGGCCTTGTGGTTAAGGTCGTTGACTTCAAACCACTTGCCCCTCACTGCTGTGGGTTCGAATCCCGACAGGGACTTTTGATTCTTTCATGTTAAGAAGCTATCCAGCTAGTTTACGGAACGTCAGTGGTTCTACTCAGGTGCCCTTTCGTGCCTGAAATAATTCACAGAAGGAAACCTGAGGTTTTCCTCCACCAGTAAAGCTGGAGCGTCGCCAAATGACCTATACTGTGTAGGTGTGACGTAAAACCCTATCAAACAAAATCTCATCTAATCAGGCGCACTCACTCCCATTTTTGTTTAGTTGATACTTGTAAAAAGGTATTTTTTTGTTCAAAGTAGTGTCATTTTGTTGGTAGTTAACAATCTAAAGTAAATAACAATATATCAGGCAACAGGTATAAGATTTTAACAGTCCTTTAGTATTACAATATTCCTTACATGATTTCGTGAAAATCCAAAATGTAACTTTTCATATTGACAACATAAATATATGGGTTAAAACGGAGCAGCTGGCCACTGGACACCAACATAAGACAGCTTATTTGGTAGGTAGTTGCTTTTCCCGTTTAAATTTATATGTCCCAGTCATAATTTAACAGTAGTTTAACAGTGTTTATCTTTTTAATTTTTCATACCTTTAGAAATGGTTCTGTGATTGACTGATTTGGAGAAATGTGTTGAAATAATTTATGAATATTCTGCCTTTCTTCCACACTGAAAAGTTGTAAAATTTCAGCTTCTTTCTTTTTACTTTCTGCACCTCCCATGATTTTGACAGATCGATCAGCTGCTGATTGATCACTTCTTCGGCGAATAAGCGTTTGTTTATTTAAGAGTGAATAGACGCTTGTTTTTTAATCGGTGTTAAAGTCATTTGCATCTCATGTAGTTTATCCGGCAATGTGTTGAAAGTAAAATTTGCAAACTACTGAAATTGGAACAGGTAACAGTCCATTTTAATGATATTCAGATGTACTATAATTTAATTCCCTTGATTTAAGTGAAAATAAATATTACAAGATTTATTGAAAAAGCTTATTATTCGTAAAGCAATGTATTTTCGCGATATGTATATTTCTCAGACAGGCCATCATATTGGTTTTTGGCTGTTTCCAATGTCATTTATTTCACACTTGACATAATTATCACAAAGATAGATCCTGTTCTATAAATCTTTATTTGCTAAATTTAGGTTAGTAAAACTAATTGGACTTGTAAAAGAGACATCAAGATAATTTTTGCCCGGTGACAAAAACAGTTTGACAAAAAAAAAAAAAAAAAAAAAAAAGCAATCAATCAAATGGGGAAAACCTTTAATGCCGAATTAAGAAGTCTGCATTTATGTATATTTTTTCTGAGGCTTCCAATATTTTACAAAAGCATAATGCCTTTGTTCACTTCACAATGTTTTTTTTTTAAATACATTTTAAAAACTTCATGTATATAATGTGAAATAAGCCAAAGCCTATGAACAGGGAAGTTGGTTAAAAAATAGTTCATTTTTTCGTTTCAAAGGTGACATTCGGTATTTTATCACTGGTTCCATTGTCAATCTGAATACTCAACGAGTATTATTAATCCAAAAAGCTGCAATTGTTCATTATTGGAATACCCTGCCTATTGTTATTGAGTTACATTGAAATTGTTGGCGCCTGACTAGAACTAACACTGAAAATTTCATTGATATGTATAGAATTCTTTATATTCTTTGTTTTTTATTTGATTTTCTTTTAAATATACATGTGTAGTTTATAGCAGTCCCGGCCTTTGACTTCCTCGTATTAACAATTGAATCCGAAGCATGCTGCATTACACAATTGAACTTGCAAGGACTTTTATCCAAATTCTCATAATGTAGTTTAAGTCTTATTTTTGAATTCTGACAATTAAAAAAGCAACAAAAAATAAAAATAAAAAAACATTTGATCCAGATTTCTTACATTTTTCATGTGGATCTAGCCAAGAGAAAATAATGAAAATCCTAAAGGCCAAATTTACCTTTACTATGCACCTTTTGGGATTTATCAGTTTAAAATAAGATTGTTGCAAAAATGCCAATGAAATTTTTTTACATGTATGTGAATTTTTTTGAATGATGTTCCTTTTTATAAACTATACACATCCAGTCAGTAGCCTGGCAAGCCAAAAGCAGGGAGACCATTTCATGAGTCGAAGTCCTGATGTGTTGAAGTTTTTACACAAGTCCCTTCAATTCTGACTTACAGAAGTTCTACTGTATCTATATAGCAGATAATAAATTGCTCTTCAACAAATATTGGTATTCATCATAAAAATGTTAATATTATATCACTAAAAACTTTATCAACATAAGAATATCCAAATGATACATATCTATATAATTTTTATCAATATTTGAAATACTTATGGAAAATGTGCCTATTGTAGAGTGTAGACCAATTCACTTTAAACCTTTTATATGTATGTATAAATTGTATTTAATGTATTAATATTTCAGTCACTGAACATGACAACAGAATCAATGTTTGAAAATTTAAGCCTGGTAGAGAAATCTGCTGTATCTTTAGACAATGTTGAAGAAGATTATGTCTTAGATGTTGCTGCACAAAGGTATATGAATTAATTAAGTATTGAAGGAGCTTACAATATTTATGATACTTATGACGATCTTGGATCAATCAATAAATGACCCTTATTGATTTTGAGGTCATTAGGTCAAAGGCCAATTGATATATAACTAGAAACTTAAATTTCAGTTTTCTGTGTACATTTTAGAAAGAATTAAATTCTACTGAAATGTTGAAATATATACCGTATAACTGGTTATTTCTGCGGGTGCAAATTTTTTGCGTTTTATGACTGAAAATGGGTATACTAATTTTTACGAATGAAATTTCTGCGTTTTTCATCAAAAACGTATGTAAAATTTAATTTCTGCTCTTTTATGTATAGGTTAGAGTGCATATTGGGTGTTCTTCGTAAATAAGAAAGCTAAAAAGGAGCAGGGCTTGCGAAGCGACTGTAGCTTTCTTATTTACGAAGAACATCCAATATGCACTCTAACCGGCTTAGTGCTCCGCCCACTTGCGTTTTATAATATAAAACATCCAGTTTATATAAAATCTGTTCTATTAAGATTTGAAACCTGAAAATTTGAAAAATCCTCGTCGCTGATTGGCTTAAAAAAATTGGCGAGCACTAAGCATATGATAAAATAAATCCATATAGCACATTTAAAAATAGAAGTTAAAAGTAGAATACCGAAAATGATAATCAACTTAGCATGTATACAGCCTACAAACACAAACTTGCTAAACTTATTACACGATAAACTACATGTAAAATCCTTTGTGTTAAATTGACTACATGTACACTGAGAACGTGTGATAAACATCTCACAATTCTTTATTGATTTTCACTAGAGCCAGAGGCTACCAGCGGGGTGTATGTATTGAATAATTTAAAGATATACTATGCTCATCCTTGAGTAAAATATTTTATTCAAAGAAATTTATTGAAATCTATGAAATTCTTATGGAATGTGTCTAAAACAAATAAAAAATGAATAAACTTTAGGTTGGAAGCAATGTTCCCTATTACAGGATAGGTAAAGATGGTCTTTTCTTACAAAAAACTGCCAGTTTTTTTATTAACGACACTACAGATTCATAATGTTACCACATACAGTGTGTAGCGTATTTAAAATGACATATCTACTTTGTGTGAAGTCAAAACATGTTTATCTTATGTTTTCAAAATGACTGTGTAGCAATTATCAATATTTTTTTTAATCAAATTTGAGCATAGTATATCTTTAACAGGTAAATTGAGGTGACAAATGCAATAAATTACATTTAAAACTAAGAAATATTTGTGAATTTAATTTTTGCCGTCCGAAGGAACCCGCAAAATATCACAGAAATTAGCTATCCGCAGAAATAACCAGTTATACGGTATTCTTATGAAATGTGCATGTTGGTCAATTTCTTTTGCCATCAGTTAATGTGTTTAGTGGCTGCATGGCCAAATGGATAACCTTAACGCGTGGGACTAGTACTATAGGTATTGCTGGCCACTATAGGTATTGCTGGCCATGTGGGTTCAAACCCTGTCGGGGGCAATCCGTTGTTTCCATGAGCAAGAAACTTAACACTCATTGCTTAGTATTGGTTGGTTCCAGGAACAAATTTGAGAGTCTTTCAATAAGCTTCCAACACAATCAAAATAAAATTATTTGTATTAACTTACAAACTAATTAATTTTTTTTACATGGAAATGTCAAGAGCTTCAAACTTCACAGAAAATGTTAAATTCAAATAAACTTGTATAAGGTTTTATTTAGCATTATGATTTGTCAATGAAAATTCTTGTCCATTTCATGAAACAGAGGAAATGGTGAATATATAGCAGCTACCAGCAGTAATCATACAATAAGATTGTTCTCAAGGTCAAATCTTGCTAATGTAGGGGTGATAGAAGGTAATGTACAATTTTATTACATGCTTTTCAGTAGTCAGTGAAATTATATTTTGATAACTTCACAGTGAAATTGTAAAATATCATGTAGTTGGACTTTATTTTAATGTGGATGAAAACAAATTATATATACCACCACAAGTACCCTTTGCCACAGTAAAATGTGCTTGATTACCAAATCACACAATTGCACATATCATATTAAGAATGAAAGAAAATTTGTGAAATTTTACATGATAAGTATTTTTTAACGAGAAAAATGTGATGTCATGATTTGATGATGTCATGAATGAGAGTTCAAGTTGTTTCACGGCAAAAATTTGTAAAAATGACTGAAAAACATGGAATAATAGAGGAAAAATTGTTAGTTTTGGATGTAAGATTAAAATATATTTCACTTATGAGCACCAGCTCTTATATTTTCAAAAAAGTATTATACCAGAGTCGCTTTTGTAACTTTTTATCATAAATTTTGTGGATATTAAGATGAAAAATTTGAGTTTGGTCCGTCAACAGTATAGATCTTGGTCAGATTGTATGGATGTGCAAGATGGCCTGGCTCTATACTGGTGGCAAAGGCTAATCAATTTTGGTTCCAACAGGTTAAGGGTTGATGTTTTTTATATATATTATATATATGTGTATATATGAATGTTTTGTTTTTTATATACATTTAGGTCATTCAGATACTATAAGTGGGATAAGCTGGGGAAAGACAGAGCCTCACCTACTTTATTCATCATCTAAAGATAAAACTATCAGGTATATCTCGTAATTAAAGTGACATTTTTGCTCATCCAAGGGTATATAGTTGGTGAACAGGTGATTTCTATTGACAAGGAAAAAACAAGTCATGTGATTTTATTTATTTTACTTACTTATTTTATTTTGTGAACATAATGGTCAAATATTATTTTTACGCTAACACATATTTACTTTTGAAATATTTGTGTAGATTGAATAATTTCTGTCAACTAGAAGGTAATATTTCAATAACAATTTCAGATGTTGGGATACAAGAACTAAATTATCAAAAGAAGTTCAGAAATTCAGAGGTAGGTCACTGTTTTATGTATCATCACATTCTATGTCATGCATTATAAAGTTTTAGCTCAACAATGAAGAGAAAATTTATTCTACTCACTCTGATGCTAGCATATGAATCCATGGCATTACACCTAGATTAAGTGATAAGTACTATCCCACTTTTTCATTAGACCCATTGTGGTATTTGCTTGAAACTTTGAAAACTTTCCTAAGACCATCATCTCCATTATTAATTTAAATAAACAAATGTATTTTCCTATGTTTTGCCCCTTTTTGATCAGGTTTGCAATTTTGATCCTGGTTATTAGATTGGTCTATGATGGCATGCAATAGACAGGGGGGGGGGGGGATCTAAGAAGATGCTTTCTTGCATAGCGCATAGCAGACTGGCGTTTCCGTGAGTTTTACCCATGCCGGAAATTTCATCTGGCATGGGGGGTGCCAGATGAGTCGCGTGCCAAACAACGTCAATTTAGCTCACTTTATGAATGAACCGCGTTAAAATGACGTCGTTTAAGAAGGGAAATATGTGCTTAGGATGACGTCCTTTCGCCGTTGTTATTTAAGTTGTAAGTTCATACGCTATTGTAAGAAAATAGTTATGGAGGAAATGACTTTAATTTCCATGAACATATATCATATTGAGGTAAACCATTTTAAATATGAAATAATATGGCAGAATATGCAAGAGAAAATATCTGACATATGATTGCTGTTCGGCTCGGAATATCCGTCCCTCGGGAACCCGCCCATGGGCGGGTCCCCTTGGGACAGATATTCCGGTCCGAACCGCAACATATGACAGATATTATTATTCCTGTCAATAACTAAAGTTAGATTGACTTATCGTAATCAAACTTGCTGTATGGAAAGTTTATGTGAAGACTTTGCCTGGGATTGCTTTTGGGCCACCTAGGGTCAAGGTCACTGTTACTAAAAGTAGAAAAACAGTTTCCTTTCAATAACTAGTTAGGAATAGAATATTTCAATGAAATTTGGTGTGTTGCAAGCTTATGTGAAGACCTCACTTAGGATTGCTTTTGGGCCATGTAGGGTCAAGGTTGCTGTTACTAAAAACAGGAAATTTGGTATCCAGTCAATAACGAGGGTTTGAAATGATATATATCAATGAAACTTAGTGGTCGGTCACTTGCAGAGAAATTGGTTATTACAGAATAATTACACAGGAAAGCTGTTAAGTTGGTTCAACCACTGAAATATGACAAAAAATGTGTTAAATCAAAATAAAAACCAGAAAAACATCAGTAAACTTATATCAATTAAACTCATCAATAATGAGGTGTCTTTTCTTGACAGTGGACCTAAAATTTTAAGAGAAACTACATGTATGTGTATCAAACAAAACTTAAAAAATGTATTTGACATTACGGTAAATGCAACATGTATCAGTCCTCTAAATTATATGATATATTGTTGATATATATTGTGTTGTATAGGATCTACTGAAACAGAGAATATGTTTACATGTATTGACATCAACGCTGATGATAGAGTTCTGTGTTCTGGCCAGGAAGCTGATAAGGAAGAAAATGCCTTCATTTTATTCTGGTACATATGAGCAATCACTTAAGATATAAAAATTCTTCTTTAAAATCTTTAAAAATTTACTTTTTGTGTCGCCTTGAAAAGGCGACATATAGGGGTTACTTTTGTCGGCGTTGTGGGCGTCCGCGTCGTTGTTGGCGTCCGCGTCCCCTTAAGCTTGTCCGGAGCATAAGTCAGTCATTATAAGTCTGATTGACTTCAAACTTGGTATGCATGCTTCTTATAATGACCCGAAGTGCAGTGCACAAGAACCGGTTATTTTTGTCCGGGCCATTTCTCCTAATGTATAAAAGCTATGGACTTGAAAATTTATACATGTAGGATGATAGATCTAATTAAGAAGAAGTGCAGTGCACAAGAATCGGTACTCTGCACTGCTTAATTTTTGAGTTATTGCCCTTTGTTAATTTTTAGCTCGACTATACGAAGTATATGGAGAGCTGTCCTACTCGCCCCGGCGTCGGCGTCCACGTCCAGATTTCAGATTAAAGTTTTGGTGCAGTAAAATATTTTTCACTATAACTTTGTCATTTCTTAAAGTATCAACTTCAAACTTCAAATTTATGTTCCTTATCATCAACCACATCTTATGTGACAAGGTCCATAACTCTAGCACCAATATTTTCAGATTTATCTCCCCTTGAACTTAGAATTTTCCTTAAAAAATACTATTTTTATTATGCCCCCCTTCGAAGAAGAGGGGGTATATTGTTTTGCTAATGTCGGTCTGTCTGTCTGTCGGTCCGTCGGTCTGTCGGTCTGTCCGTCGGTAGACCACATGGTTTCCGCTGATTATCTTGAAAAGTATTTATCACAAAGTCTTCATATTTCAGATAGTGATTGGTCATCACTAGTAGATGACCCCTATTGATTTTGGGGTCACTAGGTCAAAGGTCAAGGTCACAGGGGCCTTAAATGTCAAAATGGTTTCCGCTGATTATCTTGAAAAGTATGTATCTCAAAGTCTTCATATTTCACATAGTGATTGGTCATCACCAGCAGATGACCCCTATTGATTTTGGGATCACTAGGTCAAAGGTCAAGGTCACAGGGACCTTAAATGTCAAAATGGTTTCCTCTGATTATCTTGGAAAGTATGTATCACAAAGTCTTCATATTTCACACAGTGATTGGTCATAACTATTAGATGACCCCTATTGATTTTGGGGTCACTAGGTCAAAGGTCAAGGTCACAGGGGCTTTAAATGTCAAAATGGTTTCCGCTGATTATCTTGAAAAGTATGTATCTCAAAGTCTTCATATTTCACATAGTGATTGGTCATCACTAGTAGATAACCCCTATTGATTTTGGGATCACTAGGTCAAAAGTCAAGGTCACAAGGGCTTTAAATGTCAAAATGGTTTCCGCTGATTATCTTGAAAGTATGTATCTCAAAGTCTTCAAATTTCACATAGTGCTTGGTCATCACTAGTAGATGACCTCTATTGATTTTGGGGTCACTAGGTCAAAGGTCAAGGTCACAGGGACCTTAAATGTCAAAATGGTTTCCTCTGATTATCTTGAAAAGTATGTATCACAAAGTCTTCATATTTCACACAGTGATTGGTCATAACTATTAGATGACCCGTATTGATTTTGGGGTCACTAGGTCAAAGGTCAAGGTCACAGGGGCTTTAAATGTCAAAATGGTTTCTGCTGATTATCTTGAAAAGTATGTATCACAAAGTCTTCATATTTCACATAGTGATTGGTCATCACTAGTAGATGACCCCTATTGATTTTGGGGTCACTAGGTCAAAGGTCAAGGTCACAGGGGCCTTAAATGTCAAAATGGTTTCCGCTGATTATCTTGAAAAGTATTTATCACAAAGTCTTCATATTTCACATAGTGATTGGTCATCACCAGTAGATGACCCCTATTGATTTTGGGATCACTAGGTCAAAGGTCAAGGTCACAGGGACCTTAAATGTCAAAATGGTTTCCGCTGATTATCTTGGAAAGTATGTATCACAAAGTCTTCATATTTCACAAAGTGATTGGTCATAACTATTAGATGACCCCTATTGATTTTGGGGTCACTAGGTCAAAGGTCAAGGTCACAGGGGCTTTAAATGTCAAAATGGTTTCCGCTGATTATCTTGAAAAGTATGTATCTCAAAGTCTTCATATTTCACATAGTGATTGGTCATAACTAGTAGATAACCCCTATTGATTTTGGGATCACTAGGTCAAAGGTCAAGGTCACAAGGGCTTTAAATGTCAAAATGGTTTCTGCTGATTATCTTGTAAGTATGTATCACAAAGTCTTCATATTTCACATAGTGATTGGTCATCACTAGTAGATGACCTCTATTGATTTTGGGGTCACTAGGTCAAAGGTCAAGGTCACAGGGACCTTAAATGTCAAAATGGTTTCCGCTGATTATCTGAAAAGTATGTATCACAAAGTCTTCATATTTCACACAGTGATTGGTCATTAACTATTAGATGACCCGTATTGATTTTGGGGTCACTAGGTCAAAGGTCAAGGTCACAGGGGCCTTAAATCTTAAAATGGTTCTGCTGATTATCTTGAAAAGTATTTATCAAAAAGTCGTCATATTTCACATAGTGATTGGTCGTAACTAGTAGATGACCCTATTGATTTTGGGGTCACTAGGTCAAAGGTCAAGGTCACAGGGGCCTTAAATGTCAAAATGGTTTCCGCTGATTATCTTGAAAAGTATTTATCACAAAGTCTTCATATTTCACATAGTGATTGGTCATCGCCAGTAGATGACCCCTATTGATTTTGGGTCACTAGGTCAAAGGTCAAGGTCCACAGGGACCTTAAATGTCAAAATGGTTTCCGCTGATTATCTTGAAAGTATGTATCACAAAGTCTTCATATTTCACACAGTGATTGGTCATTAACTATTAGATGACCCCTATTGATTTTGGGGTCACTAGGTCAAAGGTCAAGGTCACAGGGGCTTTAAATGTCAAAATGGTTTCCGCTGATTATCTTGAAAAGTATGTATCTCAAAGTCTTCATATTTCATATAGTGGTTGGTCATCACTAGTAGATAACCCCTATTGATTTTGGGATCACTGGGTCAAAGGTCAAGGTCACAAGGGCTTTAAATGTCAAAATGGTTTCCACTGATTATCTTGAAAGTATGTATCACAAAGTCTTCATATTTCACATAGTGATTGGTCATAACTAGTAGATGACCCCTATTGATTTTGGGGTCACTAGGTCAAAGGTCAAGGTCACAGGGGCCTTAAATGTCAAAAGGGTTTTCGCTGATTATCTTTAAAAGTATTCATCACAAAGTCTTCATATTTCACCTAGTTATTGGTCATAAGAAGTAGATGACCTCTATTGATTTAGGGGTCATTAGGTCAAAGGTCAATATCACATGGGCCTTAAATGTCAAAATGGTTTCCGTTGATTTTTCCATATTGAACACTTCCATGTTCCCATTTTTGGCAAGTTTATGTAATAAAATTATCAATTATGTGAGTCAATGGCTAGAAAGGGGGGTATATGTGTCGTTCGACATTCTTGTTTACTGTTACTTCTTTATTTCTTAAGGGATCAACCTCATACTTCAAATATATGTACCTTATCATCATCCCCATCTTATGTGTCAAGGTTCATAACTCTAGCACAAATATTTTCAGATTTATCTCCCCTTGAACTTAGAATTTTCCTCAAAAAATACTATTTTTTACTGTTACTTATTTATTAGCTCACCTGTCACAAAGTGACAGGGTGAGCTTTTGTGATCGCTTTTCGTCCGGCGTCCGTCCGTCCGTCCGTCCGTCCGTCGTCCGTCCGTCGTCCGTCCGTAAACTTTTGCTTTAAATGACATCTCCTCATAAACCACTGAGCCAATTTCATCCAAACTTCACAGGAATGTTCCTTTGGTGATCACCTTTAAAAATTGTTCAAAGAATTTAATTCCATGCAGAACTCTGGTTGCCATGGCAACCGAAAGAAAAATCTTTAAATATCTTCTTTTAAACAACCCTAAGAGCTAGAGCTTAGATATTTGGCATGAAACATCTTCTAGTGAGTGTCTACCAAGTTTGTTCAAATAAAAGCCCTGGGGTCAAAATTGGCCCCGCCCCGGGGGGTCATTGATTTTCCCTATATGCATATAGTAAAAACTTGAAAAATCTTCTTTTAAAGAACCCAAAGAGCTAGAGCTAAGATATTTGGCATGAAACATCTTCTAGTGAGTGTCTACCAAGTTTGTTCAAATAAAAGCCCTGGGGTCAAAATTGGCCCCGCCCCGGGGGTCATTGATTTTCCATATATGCTTATAGTAAAAACTTAAAAAATCTTCTTTTAAAGAACCGTAAGAGCTAGAGCTTAGATATTTAGCATGAAACATCTTCTAGTGAATGTCTACCAAGTTTGTTCAAATAAAAGCCCTGGGGTCAAAATTGGCCCCGCCCCAGGGGGTCATTGATTTTCCCTATATGCATATAGTAAAAACTTAGAAAATCTTCTTTTAAAGAACCCAAAGAGCTAGAGCTAAGATATTAAGCATGAAACATCTTCTAGTGAGTGTCCACCAAGTTTGTTCAAATAAAAGCCCTGGGGTCAAAATTGGCCCCACCCCGGGGGGTCATTGATTTTCCCTATATGCATATAGTAAAAACTTAAAAAATCTTCTTTTAAAGAACCATAAGAGCTAGAGCTTAGATATTTGGCATGAAACATCTTCTAGTGAATGTCTACCAAGTTTGTTCAAATAAAAGCCCTGGGGTCAAAATTGACCCCGCCCCAGGGGGTCATAGATTTTCCCTATATGCATATAGTAAAAACTTAAAAAGTCTTCTTTTAAAGACCTAAAGAGCTAGAGCTAAGATATTTAGCATGAAACATCTTCTAATGAGTGTCTACCAAGTTTGTTCAAATAAAAGCCCTGGGGTCAAAATTTGGCACTGCCCCAGGGGGGTCATTGATTTTCCCTATATGCATATAGTAAAAACTTTAAAAAATCTTCTTTTAAAGAACTCAAAGAGCTAGAGTTTAGATATTTAAGCATGAAACATC